CAGGGCTCTGCTGGGCTCAGCCCCAGGCACAGCTGGGCTCACCCTGCCCTCCCATTGCTCTGACAGCTTTGCATCACACGAGCGCGTTCCCAGCACACCGCCTGAGCTTTCTGCTTTTGCAGGTGAGTGAGACTCTCCTGCAGGCCAAGAGATTGCAGTTAGGGACACACTAATTGGCAAGGACCCAAACTCTCCACAGTCCCAGCTGAATGCCTGCATCTGCACAGGATGTTTTCTGTGTCCCACTCTTCCTTTCTTTTTGGCTGCAATTGTGCAATTGCACTTTCTTCCTCCTCTAGAAGTGCCACTGCTGTGTTCCTGAGGCAGTGCAGTCTGGAGCTGATGGATGAAGAATTGCCCCTCTGCACTTCCAAACCAGAGCAAAAAGCTGTAAGTGGGACTTTGCATCTTTAAGAAACCCCTGAATGTTTGAAAGGGAATGTGCAGCTCATTCACAGGGTGAGAAGGAAGGGCATCTTCTAAAGGATTTGGGGTTTGACAGAGTTTAGATTCCCAGTGCTGCTTGGAGCTCGCAAGGCGCAAAACACTTTCTTCTTGCTTCACTCCAATTTCACCACAATTTAAAATAACAATATTGGAATCAAACTCCAAACAACTTTTTCAAAAAGGTTCCTGAGGCCGGTAAGATGCATCATGCCATCAGCACATTTACAAAGTAAATAACTGAGTTTTATGTTTCAAAAGACCAATTACGCCTTAATTCAAAGTTAGAGAAGATTTTTCACTGTACGCTTGGGTTCTGTTTTTATCTTTCACATTTTATAGAAGTTTTTTTTCTTTTATTTTTCCGCATTTTTCCCCTTAAAACAGAAATCATGCTATGAAAAAGAAGTGTCCTTTGCTCCTGGTTCCTGTGTGGAGCAGCTCCCTTCCCGCTGGCTGAGCTGCTCAGGCAGAGCCCGGCAGCTCCTGGCCCTGCAAGGCTGAGGCTTTTCCCCGTTGCTGGGCACAGACTGATGGAGCAGCACTGCTGAACACGGGCACACGCAGAGGGAGCAGAGCAGCTGCCTTTGCCCACCTGAAGCTCCAAGGCCAAACTCTGAGCAGGCACGGCTGGAAGAGACTTGCAGGCTCCCTGTTGGCTCTGCTGCCCCACTTGTGCCCGGCCCAGCTCTGCGTGAGGCACAGGGAGAACAAGGGGCAGCTCCCTCCCAGCCCCAGCCCAGGGACCCCTCCAGCCCTGGGCCTTGGGGAACTGTCAGCACCCGCTCCTCCAGCCACGGCTTCTGCTGGCACTGACAGCAACAACCAAACTGGGGCTGGTCCCGAGGGAGCAGCAGCAGTGCCTGGGTCTGATCCCTCAGTGTGGGGCAGTGCTGGAAATATGATCGCAGCACCACCACCAGCAGCACCAGCAGCACCAGTGCCAGCAGCACCAGCAGTAGCATCAGCAGCAGCACCACCAGCAGCAGGAGCAGCAGCAGCACCAGCAGCAGCACCAGCAGTACCAGCATCACCACCAGCACCGGCAGCAGCACCACCACCAGCACCAGCTTCACCAGCAGCGCCAGCAGCAGCACCACCAGCAGCATGAGCAGCAGCAGCACGAGCAGCAGCACCAGGGGCAGGATCAGCACCAGCAGCACCAGCAGCACCAGCAGCACCAGCAGTACCAGCAGTACCATCAGAACCAGCTCCAGCAGCACCAGCTCCAGCAGCACCAGCAGCAGCAGCAGCACCAGCAGTACCAGCAGAACCAGCTCCAGCAGCACCAACAGCAGCAGCACCAGCACCAGCACCAAAAGCAGCACCAGCAGCAGCACGACCAGCAGCCGAAGCAGCAGCA